ATGTGTGATTTTCATTGGAAGTCGGTGGAAACGAATTTTTGGCAAATTTAAAAAATGTCACTGCTAACCCATGATACAAACAACATGGTATGAACGCAAAAGTCCAGATTTGGTCCAAGTCCGCCCAGTACGGTCACTTGCTTACCCGTATTATCATATTATTGTCATTAAATTATTATTACTATACACTACCCTACGTCACGTGCTTACCGAAGGATCTGACCGTCAAATAGTTACGATCATACCTTGTTTTTATATCATGCTGCTAACCAATGTACTGGTGAACTTAGTACCAGTAAAGTATGTGGATTGAATTTAAACAATGAATATGATAACAACTCAGAATCAGAATCTTGGACATACTTTTTTCATTTGTCTTGGTTGTTGCATTTGTTTACTTTGTTGGCGGATCTGTAGTAAATGCCTGTTTATTTAATGAAATTGGTATTAATATGATTCCTATTTCCTCATCATGCATTTTGGTCATCACTTTACGATAAAATCAAGGATAAACTATGTGGAACATCTACAATGGCAACAGCTCATGAAAGCATATAAAATATTTATTTTTTATATTAACAAAAATAAGATGCTCAAATGCTCAAACATACTCTATTGCTAACTGCTAGGCATGATATTGCTGAGTGAGAAATATAATATATATTTTGTTTCTTATTATTTTTTACTTCCAAGGAAACACTATATTAAAACACTTAATTGTTTTATTTGATAAACATATTATTTTTATTTTTGTCAAAACATACCTATTTAAAATTTGCTTTATTGTAAGTAATGTTCTCAATTCATTATTAATAAAAATTTAATTGTAACCAAGGTTTTCTTATAATGTATTAATGTGATCTAAAAATATTTAAATAGTCATTAGTTTTATTTAAAAATATGTAAAAGTCAATGTTGTAAAAATGTATTGTTGGAAACGATTTAGATTAATTATTCAAAAATACTTTCTTAATAAATTTCTCATAAAGATTATTAGATTTTCAAATATATACTGCCAAAAAATAAATACAATATAAAGACTTAATTAATTTTACTATAAACTAATGTTTTATTTTTTAATTTAGGTCTTAATTAATCAAAAATACAAAAAATAAATATATATTTTATATGGCAATTTAAAAAATACGAAAACAGTAGTACCTATTTTGTATAATACATTATAAAGCATTTATAGGTAGGAACTTTGAAGTATTTTATTTTATATGACAAATAAAATAAATTATAATAATGTGAAATAATTGATAACAAGTTCTGACTTTTTGCTTACAGATTTCCATAGTTTTTCAGTGATCATAATTCATAATATAAGCACCACTTCAAAGTTCCAATTATATCAATTTTTTACTATAAAACTTTTCTATCAATTTACACAAAATTCATCATGCTATTTTAAAACTAATGTATAGTCTTAGCTTCGCTACAAATTTACAGTGTGAAAATTTTACACTCAAGTGCTAATAAAAACAATGCCATTATTTTTAATGTCATCACGAACAAATAAAATATAAAATAGTTTTTATATAATTTTAACTGCTTAGAATGAAACACTAACAACAAATAATTGCGTTTTCTCATTCTTACTGAAAATTGTGTTTTTAAATTATTATAATTGAAAATTTTAGTGAGTCCCGAAATATCTTTACTGCAGGGTTCAAACCCAGACGTCGACAGACCATATCAACGCAGACAAAAATAATTTTCGGACATAAAGCCATACAACAATGGTGTGAAAAATAAGGTTATAAAAAATTTAAAAAACTCCCCCATTATTGAACGAGACTCGAACATGTGCACAGTGTGAAAAGAATAATAAATCAAATCATGAAAATAGTTCTAAGAGAATAACGTCATAAAAACACCACGCTTGGTATTCTTGAAATAAAATTAATCAATTCCGTCGTGAACCGATTCGAGTTTTATCGAAATAAATAAACGTCACAGGAGAAGTTTTTGAGTTTTTGATTCCACACAAACCGTAGGGTTTATCGGACAGGCCGAATTCTGTTAAGTCGACGTCATGTCAGAGACGTTTAACTCGAAATGTGGAAACTATTTTTTATCGTTACTTTGGTGGTAATATTCACGTTTTGAAAACGACTCTTGGTTAAACTTTTTTTAGTAATTTTTGCGAAAAATAAAATTAAAAACCTAAAACAATGTATTATAAATAAACAAGTATTTTTCCGAATGCGGGTTTCTAGTATCAAGAAGTTCGTACGCTCACGTTTAGCCAGATCGGTTGCATAGTTGCCAGTCGTCGGTGGGCTTCCAAAACATTAAACTTTCCGTTCAATCATAAATTACTATTACAGTTGTATGATAACGTCGTGTAGTTTCAAATTCGATCATAATTTGTCGTTTAGTTGTAAGTATCAAGACGTCAAAAACATCACTGGGTAAGTATAGGTATACACGCCACAGAGTACTCGACACAAACCGTATTATATTTTACAATCTGAGACACGCGTATATTAATATGCAGGTACGGACCAAAAAAAAGCCGTTTAAAATCGTACGAATATTATCTTAAAAACGTAATTGTTAAGGTGGGCATCCTTATTCGTCGGGGTTGTCAATTACTTATATTTATTTTATCATTATTAGTATTATTTTTTTTTTGATTATTCCACAGGCCTTCTCCACGCTTTCCTGTCTAGTTGTTTTCCATCTCTTATTCCTAGAACCTTAAGGTTTTCCCAGGCTTGATCATTCCACCTTTGTCTTGACCATCCTTGTGGTCTTATTTTGTTTGGTGTCCACGTCATGAGCTCACGTATTAATTGGTCCTCCATTCTCTAGAGATATATCCGACCCACCTTATTATTTTGCTTTTAATTTAATCATGTTATAATATATTACCTGGTACATTGAACATGGCTCTCAGTTCTGTATTTGTTCTTCGTTGATGTGTGTTCTCTTCTTCGTTTCTTTTGGGGTCATAGATTTTACGTAAAATGTTCTTTTCGAATAACATAAATATTTTTTTGTCCGGCTTTTTTGATGATTAGTTTATTAACGACCATTGTGTATACGAGATTGCACATGATGGGATACGTATGACTGTATGAGTGTATGACCCATATACAAAATGTTTGAAAAAATTGATCTTACAATAATATTGAAGTTATTGTATTGTCTATTATTAATTATTATTTCTAGTACACACATTTCATTATACTGCATTCAAATGACTTTGAAATTATATTATTACAGTCAACTTTTCATTGCCTTCTAAATTATTAAATTTTTACTATCAATCGTGTACGATTACCTAGTGATAATAATAGTACGTTAAAACGTAATTTTAGATCGAGGAATTTTTGTTATGTTTTTTTATTATGTAGGTGGGTACATCAGTAGAGATGACTGGCGTTGAACTCCAAATCATAAGCATGCAGGCATATGCTAATTCATCGTATATTTTAGTATTACACGTTTATAATGGTTATAAATATTAAAAAATGGTTTACATACAATTTACTGACACATTCAGTTTCTATTAAAGCCATAAAATAATAATGTATATGAAATAATATACTAAATAGTAAATATTAATAATACTGCTCGCGTCACTCGAAGTTCAGGCACACGGTACAGCCGAATACAAAATACCTACGAATTATTAACGAAGCGGAACCGCTCAGGGTGGCGTGCTCACAGTGGTTGAGAGGGTATCAATATCCCACTTTGACTTTTTACTGCATATAAAACTTAATACGATAAAGCAATGAGAGTATAATATTTACAGTTATATAACGTGGTCTGAGAATGGACAAAATTTAAATATCCGGATATCCATCCCCACCCCACCAAACTACGCTGAGAACGCCACTGTGCAACGGCTGCTATAGTGCATGCAGCGGTCCCCCCGCGTGCTTCATATTATGGTCCTCTACCAAATTTTGTGCAGACCACACTAAAACAAAAATATAAATTCTAAAATCCAACATTCTACACTTATATTAAAATTATATTTTTTTAACTTAAATAACTTATAATTATTATCATTAAAAATGTAACTAGGAACTAGGAATCTTTACACCTGTGGCCGGGGGGAAAAAATACGCCTTCGGTCTATGCACAAATTTAAATTTATTCACTACATACGGCCCGCAAGTAATTTTCAAAAATAATAATCGGCTCTTTCCAAAATCTTACTGCTGCTCGTGGAAAGAGCTCTCGCCAAATCAGCATTTCCCCTTGATAATAAACTTTGTATAGGTTTCTGTACAGAAGAACACGTGCTATCAACAAAAGTGACGATAAAATCTTAATAAATATTAAATACAAACAAGTTTAACTGAAATTTATGAGACCTTTGTCAAACGTTATTATTCTTTTAAAATACGTACTAGGCGTATATGTTACGCCGAATTTGTGAAATTGCTGATTTCATGAAATCGGCAGAAAAATTGCCGATTACATGGAATCAGCATCGTTGTTGCAGAAAACGTGAAATCGGCAATTTTTCTGCCGATTTCATGAAATAGGCATACTTTTTTCTGCCGATTTCATGAAATAGGCATACTTTTTTCTGCCGATTTCATGAATTCGGTATCACATTATTACAAACATAATTTATTAAGAATAGTGATAGATATATAAATAACCAATATTTGAACCCATTTGAACCACATCATTATCTTTATTACCTATGATGGACGATGGTAGACGCTACTGATGGTTAGGTCCCCACTGGCGTACGGCGTGGCTTTGGTGCACCTCACGTTCTACAGTCCGATAATGGTCGCGAATTCACTGCCGGTATTATAACCGAATTAGCGTCATTGTGGCCAGATTTAATACTAGTAAATGGTAGGCCACGTTATCCACAAAGCCAAGGATCTGTAGAAAGAGGTAATTGTACACTGAAGGATTCGCTGGTGGCGTGGATGCGAGACAACAAAACTGCCGCATGGAGTTACGGCCTCGACTTTGTACAATGGGGCGTTAATACCACATACCACGAAGCTATAAAAATGACTCCATTTGAATCAGTCTTTGGTCAAAAAGCACGAATGGGACTGGCAACAAAAGTACCTCGTGAAGTCTTGGAAAATATAATGACAGGAACGCTAGAAGAAGATATGTTGGACATGCTTTTGGATCCATTGACTACATCTACTCCCACCACTCCGGAATATCGAAACGATGAGGACATAGAAGTACAAGTACTCAATACTGAAGTGAGTAGAATTAATGATATAAGGCAGAGGTACCAAACTTTATATTGTACGACCAATTTTAGGAATTTTTTAAAATTTGGTTACGATCGACGTAGGTAGCTGATGAAATAATAAAAAATATTTTTTTTATAGACAATAGATTTAGAGGGTACGCAGAAAAAAATTGAATTATTAGAAGATAATACTGCGCAGAAACTTGATAACTTAATAAAGACCACACGAAACATTTTGGATATTGAAAGTGACACCGACGAAGTAAGTCTATGGATATAATGTAGGTAATTAAAATTATTAATTAATTAATATTTTTATGAAGTATATTGAAGAGTTAGTTTCCAATCATCCTGCTGTAACACGACGCAAAATTGCTGCACACAATTTAAAATGCCAAGCGGACAGGATGGTAACGAGAGGCAAAGGCATTCTCCCTCCCTTAAAAGTTGGTGACAATGTTCTGGTGTCAATCCCGTCGGTAGATCGAGGGCGAGGAGATGCTGCCAACCTTCTTTCAGTTGTAATGGAAGAAAAAGATGGTAAATTTCGTATAGCAACCAAAGAAGGAACTCTAAACACATGGCTGGAGCGGAACAGTTTGGCTGCTACGAAGTACTGTTCCTTAACGACAACAGACGTTCAATCAAATGAATATTCGTTACGGGAACTTGTTCGATTAGGATCAGTTGGGACTGGACAAGGATATCGACGTTGTACCTGCCGTACTAATTGCACATCAAAAAAGTGCACATGTAGGAAAAATGACATGATGGGCGTGCCACCCAGGCAGTAGTTGTCAAAATTTATAAATGTAAATATTTACTTCCACTTAATTAAAATAAATAAAAAATAATAATATAAATATAAATAAAAACTAAGTATATTTTTATAACTTTAGGTTTTTATAATTATAATCAGATTTAATTCATCTCCAGCATTGTATGTAAGATCATGAGTACAACACAATTATTTATAATATTTTAAGAATTGGCTTGCCTATTTCATGAAATCGGCAGAAAAATTGCCGATTTCACGTTTTCTGCAACAACGATGCTGATTCCATGAATTCGGCAATTTTTCTGCCGATTTCATGAAATCAGCAATTTCACAAATTCGGCGTAACATATACATCATTGATGATTGAATAGCTTATGTATATTTTACTATTTAAGTTTTTATTCTTCCTCGTGTCCTGAAAATTATTCGCCACTAGTTTCATAGTTTTGCAATATTAGATAGATATGCTAGGTAGCTATCAGACGGTATTTTATAGCTTATCAAATTATCAATATCTATAAAGTTTTAAATCATAATTATATTATGTTCATTTATTAAATATGTAAATAAAACGTTCTTGTATTACTGTTAGTTTATTTTTTAGAAAGCCGTGAAATATAATTTTATTTAAGCTATACCTACACCTACAGATAATATAACGCGCTGTAAGCTGTTAGTATAAACATAAAAAGAAGTTATATATATTATTAAATTTAAATTGAATCATATGACAAATCGAAGGGTTAGCTACGTGATAATATAATGGCAGATAAAACTTGGATAGTGAGATATTATTTTATTTGACAGGTGAAAATATTATTAGTAGGGCCCGGAACTTGATGACCTAAAAATCTTTAAAAAATGCACTAAAAAAAATGTTAATATGACTTATAAACATCAAAAAATGACTTAAAAAAATGACCAAAAAAATACCAAAAATTTCTTTAAAAAATAATAATCATTATTATTATTATTTAAAAATTAAAAATTATTATATAAATATTAAAAAAAATTCGTTTTTCAAAATTATAATGTAACATAATGGTTCTTATAAATTTATAATTATTATAAATTTTATTTTTATACATTAAATATGCTTTTAGTAATTAAACAATTTAAATTTTATTTATATTTATACTTTTAAACAATAAATGTGTTACACTGAACGATTAAAGTGTGTTTAATAGTTTCAAATAAAAATGATCGGCAATTGTCCGATAGTAAAGTTTTGTATGTTGAAAAACTTCTTTCAACTTCCACAGAAGTGATTGGCGCATGTTTGAAAAAAGTGATATCATCTGTATTCAAATCTTCTGGCAATCCTTCTTTTGTCACTTCTTGTCCTTCCAATATTTTTGAAATAATCTGCATAGTTTTATAACCACTATTTTTTTCTAAAACAGTTTTAAATTTATGTTGAATTTGGCGTCCAACTATATTTCGTGCTAATTGAATTTTATCTTTTTCTTCGTCTACAACTAGTATAGCATCGGCAAGGCATATTTTTGACGATTCTAATCGTTTGATTGAATTTGGGAGCGATCCAAAGTTTGATTTGATATAAACTAAATTTAATTCTAAACCTGGATCGTAAATCGAAATGTAACTTTCGACAAGAAAAATGCGAATATACATAAAAAAAAGTACAAAAATGAATAAAATGCACTAAAAACTGCACTAAATGACCGTAAAGCATAAAATTCCCTAAAAATGCAAAAAATGCAAAATAAAAATTGTACCATTAAACTCCATATTCCATGAATCAAATTCCTGTAAAGACGAGCCTCGTGTGTAAGCATTACATAAAAAGATGCAAATGCATCAAGTTCCGGGCCCTAATTATTAGCGATGATCTTTGGATAGTAAAAACTTCTAAACGTAGTCTAACAGTATTAGAGACAAAAGGACCATTATACCCATCGATGGCGGTTTGTGCGAGAGGGTGAACTACCTATATATAATTTGAACACAAATTATATAAAAGAAGAAAAATTTGTCAAAGAATTTTCGTCACATTATCTCAATTGAATCGTAAACTTTTTTTCTCTAGACAACCGAAATTCAGTGCTGCGGGATATCAAAAATAGTACAAACGTTGAAACGTGGAGTAGGTATAATCTAATCGAAACGGTAAATTTTACAAAAATTCTATAAAAGAAGAACGTATTTTTATCAAATCATTTCTCATATATAATATATCTCAATCGAATCGTAAACTTTTTTTTAGACCAACGAAATTCCGTACGCAAAGTAAATTTTAAAAGAAAAAGACGTACCTGTATGAAAGAGCTAAACTAGCTTTTCGTACACTTACTCGTAAAGCCTCGTGTGCACTGTATATCGGAAATTATATTTTCTTTTGAAGAATTCCACACGGACAGGACGGACATAATAATATAATTAAGTTCGAGCGGACTGTTGGGAACTTCAAACGGTAATTCGTATGTATGGCTACGCCCGATATTGCTTATCGCGTATCTCGATATTGTCGTCTGCAGATGGTAATACGGAAATACGACGAAAACCTTTTAAAATGTAAATGCTGTTCGGGGATAGCTATTTACTAAACGTTCAGATATCCGAGTCCACCGGACACCGTTCGGAAACACGCGCAACGACACGTATCGTATCCGAAAACGTATTATTATACCATTCCGATTCATCGGCTATACAATATTATAGCAAATCGTCTCTGAATGTTGACGTACGGACCGAAGAAAAAAATGTAATGTTTACTCAAGCGTCGTGTGAGTATTCGCATATTTTGTCCGAGGCAAACAACTATACTGAAATTGTTGTATGAAATAAACATTTATTACTCGCCCCGTTGGCATAACATATTATAATATATTGTAAACATATTTATTGATCGTATTGCCGAATATAATACAGTAAAACATACTAATATTATCTTATTGATATTATCGTGACTGCAGTTGCAGTACTTATTCTGACTTTCATATCGAATATTTTTGAATTTTTGATAATTTCTACTAAAATTATAACTATACAATATGTATTACCTATACTTCTGATAATACTTAATTGTAATAACGATTAGCATATTTAATTTTCTTTTTGTGCGTTAAATGTGTATATTGTAATAACTTTCTAGTTATAAAATAAAATAAAACATCATAGGTATAAATTAGTGTTGATGAGAAAAAAAATAGTTTATTCGGTCAAGCAAATTGTTAAACTGTATAGGTGGTACGTAGTACGTGGATATAAAAAGGTTGAGTACCGCTTATGCATAGTAAATAATAATAATACAATAAGTAGTTATTGTTTATAAAATACATATCGATGAACTTGAGGTAGATGGTACTATGGGAGCAATTGACTATACTCTTTTTATTACTACTATGTTCATCGAGGGGGCTCAATCTCTCAAATCCGTTCCCTAGCAATTATACATATAACTTTACAAGTGAATAGTGGTAGGGCTTTATTGGTAATTGGTAACATATTTATGATATATAATATAATATACACGATACCGGATTTATGTGCAAGTATATTACAGTTTGATAGAAGCCAAAAACACATTTTAACACAATTTTACCTAGTTACAGTATGTCAGTAAACTAAATTATCATAATAAACTATATCTGTTCAAAATCAAATCACATTAATTGGGGAATACGTAGACACAAAACACCACTGGAAGTTGTGGCTCTACATAATATACACCTATTAGATTATTTAGTATAAACTATAAATAATAGTATAGTGTACCTATATAACTATTAACTATAATTGATTAACTGAACAAAAATTAATTGTCTATTGTTAACTCATAACGGTTCAACAATGACGATGAGAAAATATTTATTAAATAATAAATTATATTACATATATTTCATTGAAAAATAAAAATTAATTAATAAATCATATTTTATTTTATCGAAAAATAAAAATTAATTAATAAATTATATTATATTTTATAGAAAAATAAAAATAAATTAATTCGTAATTTTGCAATTTTTAATAATTTTAATACTTGGTTTTTTTGATGTTAACCCACCATAAAATAAAATGGAAATTATCCTCTATTTGCTTAAAAATAACTAAATATTATGCAAAAATATGCACTATCTTATAAAAGTACAAAATATGCAAAAATAAACTTTAAAAAGTTTTGGGATTAAAACCTATAGTGATCGAATCAGATTTTAAATATGTACTTTCCTAACAAATATGCAAATTCATAAAGTTCAAAAACCTGGTTATAACTTGTAACTGGTGTTTATGTATGTAATATTTCAGATGACAATAAGTGTTTATATATTATAGCCTATATAGGTACCTATATATTATGATGTTGTCAAGAAATATTTAATACGTATTCTGACTTCTGAGCCATTAATAGTGCAATATAATGTGTAAAATCTTAAAAATTAACAAATAAATAGTTGGTATACGTTTTAATACAAAAGTTTTATAAATAAAAATAAAATTGGGCTTTTTTGTTATTGAAATATCAATTTGAAGCCTTTAAGGTGTCTTAGTTTGCCTACTCTACCATACTACACACTTCATAAAATATGGAAAACAAAACAATAATTTAAGAATTAAACTTTATAAAAATGATTAATTGTAGTACAATGCAAAGATTAAACCTAATGTAAATGTGTGGAATATAATTAATGTAATTAATTGTTATCTATAGTACAAAGAATATAATTTAAATTTTGCTTAAAGCTAGTAGATAATGAATGAGAAGTAAATAGATCTATTTCATATTTATTAGTTAGCTGCGTAATACGATGAATCGGAAAATTCATCGTTTAATTAGTTCGTTGGTTTTGAATATAAAATGTAACATGAGATCTTGTGAAACGTTGTGGAACCTAAAGGACAAACGACTGAGGAACTCGAGGCAATCAATAATATTATGAACAACATTATACAAAAAAGCACAAATCAAATTTATTCCACGCAATTCAAGAGAATCGAGAAAAGGGATATCCAAAATATGATGGTAAGAAATGTGGGGAACGTAGGGTATATTAC